AATGCAAGATAGACAGAACATGTTACTGAATACAAATAATTTTTAGAAATATACAAAAATAAAGTTAGTACAGTATTATGCGTTTGCAAGGCAAATACATAAAATTACATCTACTTAAATAACATGTTGTTCTCTTATACAATTTGTCAAAAACTTAATCAGCTATAGCTAATTATTTAATCCTGAATTATTAATAACAATTAATAATTTATAGTTTTTCAAATTATTACAATTAATACTTATATTTTTTGTCCCGTTTTAACATCAGAATTATATTTTTTTAAATAAGTAATTTCATAGCTAAACTGAAAGAAAATTGTTTTACAATTGGCTTAATAAGTATAAATAAATTAAATAGAAACTAGATACAAATAAATATATACTAATAATAAATAAATACTAAATACCTGAAATGTTGATTAATTCAGAATTCAGAATATCCAAATGATTGATGGTGATTACTGATAAGAGTTTTATACAAAAACACCTTTTATAAAAGGTAATAATCAATAAATTGTTAGTTTACTCATTGAAACATCAGTTATTTTGTTTGAATCTCTTATTTACAAAAACTATTCAGCGGTTTAGGCAGATTGGGATTTTTAGTTTTTTAGCAAAAAAAATAGAAATTTTCTCAGCAACAATTCATCACCGACTGACCGACAAACACAGATGACCCATCTAAATGTCAGTGTAACCAACACAATGTAATTAGAACTTCCTCCATGAACTTTAGTATTATTCCATTTTATTTCAAATAAATATACCTATTTTTATTTTATTTCATTTTTTTTTTTTAATTTTATTAATATTATAATCTTCAAATTTTTTTTATCTACTCTAAGAATAATGAAACGTGTCCGTTCATTTTTAACAAAAAAATAATTTTGTAAGCAAATCAAATGTAAACATACTTATAATATGTATAATTTTTTACAAGTTATTACATTTATACTATATTTTAATAACTAATTAATAAATATGTTTATTTTAATAACATTTGTATCCACCATTTGGGGTAGACGCCAGACGGTATGTTATCTTAAATAGAGGTGAATCGTGGATACATTAAACGGTTGGCTATTTTCAATTTTGATTATAATGTTGGAATTAAAAAAAAAATTAACTGACTGGAAAATAAAACCTGTTTGGTTTTATACTTCTACATTGCGTGTAAATTTATCACGATGCATTATTACTATCATTAGTAAATAGTATCATTAAATAAGCCAAAAGATAAGTATTTGTCTTATTTCAATCACTTAGTTATAGATAAATATAACTGGTAAGTGGTATTAAGTATACCTAACATGTTCGCCCTATAGATGATTAAGGATTAATCTATCAGTGAAATTTTAAAAACCATTTCCAGCGGACGGATACTTTTTTGTTCAATTTAGCATATAATTTAAAAATAAACTAATCAACTTTTTATAAGAGATTTCCAATTACAATTATTAACACTTTTTATAAAAATACACTAACTTTTACAGGAAATCTGGCTTTTAATTTAATTAATTATTGGTTTATTACATAAAATAAAGGTACCTACGTATTAAAAAATATTGTAAATATGACATTTATTGAATTATATTTCTTCCTATTAAATTGGTGTATATATTTTTTTCTTTTTAATTTGGGTAAATTTTATATTATTAAAAAAAAAAAAAAAGTTTATGTACCTAATATATTCTATTTCATCAAAATCTATATAATTTACACTGTAAATTTTAATTAATCATAGAATTATAAATACTAGGTATATAATTCTTAAGATTAATTTATATGCAAAGAATTTTGTATCATATTATAGATTAACAATTTTACATTAGGTAAATATTAAATCTGTTTATGTCGTTTATGATGTACAGCTGTATTGAGTATCTTTTTTAAATATTATATTATAATCATTTTTTTTTTTAAACTGTTGGCAATTAACATTGTTCATTATACACTAAAACGTTTACGAATTGTATAGATATTTTAAAATTAGAGTATAAATCTATCTATTAAATGTTTTAGATTTTAAGCAGACTTAGCAGAGTGATAAATCTATTGATTTTACAATGATGAATGATGTGCGATTTTTCTTTGTGGAAAGATCAGCAATAATAATGTTTTGATTTTCAAAAATAGGGATGGTTTCTTATTTCTGGTAACAAGTTGGATCAAGTTTGTACTTTAGACATGAGATTAATAAAAACCTGGAATTTGTACCCAAATTTAATATTCCACAAAATCGATTTTGTTTTTTTGATATAACTCGAAAACGAATGTCCATAGATCTCTACTTGAAATTTTTACCAAATCTTTTTATTAATTTTATTTAGTAAGAATGTTGATTACATATTATTCGTCGTGTAAAAATGCATAAAAATTTACTATAAACTACCTTATAAGTTGTTAATTTCTCAAGTAACAATATTAAAAATGTATGATTACAATATTTTTTTATAAACGTTTAAAGATTTAAAATATTGATAAAATTCATTAATATCTTAGTAAACAAATTTTTTGTAGTTCGAAATTAATAAAAAAAATTTTGTACCAAAGGTATACAAATTTAATAGAAAGCTTATTATAAGTTCTTCAATTTTTATAAAAAAAAAAAATTCTATTGGATAACCAAATTAATATTGTATGAACATTTCAAGTTGAAACAACTTTTGATATTTTGTATTATTTTAAAGAAAAGTAACAGTAGATAGTTAAAATTTTTACCAAATGTTTATATTATCATTTTCATGATAACATAAATTTTCAAAATAATTTGACTATTTTCAAGCTATGTATAAGCATGATAAACTTTCAATTTTCTTTTAGTTTTTTTGTATAAATATTGATAAAAAATTATTCATTGAATAAAAATTCTTGAAAATGTATCATAAGAGCCCACGTAAGTTATTTTTATATTTGTATTAAAAGTTAAAAATACATAGTCACAATTTTTTTTCATAAGCATGCATGAAGTAAAATTTTAATGAAAAACTGCAAAATAACTTCTAGTTAGAAATTCTTAAAAATATTCAGTTTATATCTAAGTTTAGAAAATTTAATATAAGATTTTTCATAAGTATAAATATAAAATATGTACAGATAATTATTTTTATAGACATATCAAGTTCAAATTTAAAGAATATTTAAACAATAAATATTGGCAATTATTTTTTTTTATAATTTATAAACATTTGTGGAACTTAAACTCTTAATACAATTTTTATTACACAAAATATAATTTTTGATTTATTTTAAAATATTTATTTAAATAGGTACCTAATTTAATTATTTTTACTGTTTTACAGTACTTATTTACAAAAATATGTAATTACATCTTGAGTTATATAATTGATATGTGTTATAAATACATATTATTTTAATAATAAATACTAATAAGATCATAAATCCAATATTTTCAGAAAAAATATTATATCAACCAACAGTTATATTAAAATTTAAAACTGAAATAAATGATTTAGAGTTATATAAAAAAAACCCATCATGAAATTATAAAAACTAAGTAAGAGACCAGCTCAATTTCAGGATTTGCTTAGAAACAGAATGATTTTGTATATGATGATATATCATTGAACTCAAATATAACATACCAATAATAGTGATTCATTCAGCACTTAGTATATAGCAGTATGTTCCATGGTTTTGAAAAATTGAATTTCTTTTATTTATTTAATAACTAATAACTGTTATCATTTTAAATCTTCAAAAAAATTCCTATATATTTTAACTTTTTTAAAGCTATTTGACATTTAAAAATTTATTTTCATTAATGTCAAAAAAAAAATATTCAATGGATAAAAATACTTGGAAATTTAATAAAAAGTTTTTCATAATTTGTTTATTTATATATAGTAAAATAAATTAGTTTAATAGCAGTATCATAGAAAATTTCATGAGGTGTACTCAAAATTGGCTTTTGTACATTATGATTTTTTATTACATTCTAATTTAACACATCTGTAATAGCGACCAATTCAATACTACTATATAACAGAACATTACCCAACATTTTTATTTTTTTTTATTTATAACACATCTTACTATTATAGTTTGCCTATGCTTAATCTTATAAATCACATATTACATGACTAATTACAAATCACTACAATTGATTACAATTTAACATATATTAATCAAATATATTTTAAATCATGTTTACCATTAACACAACAAACTACAATATTCTTACATATGAAAGATTAATTAGTATGATTCTATAGTATATGGTACTGTAATATTCTAGGTTTATATATTTCAAAATCAACTAAACATTATGGGCAATTTGTTTATTATATATGTATTTATAATAATATACAAAAGCATATTTTATTTTTATACCAAATAAAGGTTTACAAATAATACACCAATTTTAGATTATAAAAAAAATAATAATAATAATGATACTTATTTTAAATAACAACAAAAAATAATAATAATATAATATAGAACTCAATTTTAACATCATGAAATACAATACAATGGATACAATGGTTTTGCAAATATCATAAATCAAAATTTCTCCAAAAGTTGTTATAATAAATGTGGTTTGTCTATCTAAGTTAACCAACGATTGACGATTTTTAAAAGTAACAAACAAACACCGTACATAATTATTACATTGATAATCTCATAAAAACATTCAACATTAATAATTTGGTTTTTAGGAATTAAAATAACACAAAGTATAGTTCGAGATAAATAAATACACTTTGGAATAATTTAAAAAAAAAGTGATAGCTATTGGAACGTAAACAAATATATAGGTAGTAATATAAAAGCCATGTGAAATGTTTGGTTACAACATAATAATATACTAATATCAGTTGAAGGGAAAATAAAGAGTAATTGTTACTAAAATATTATAAATTTTGTTATGTTTTAAATAAATCTGAAGGTAGTTATATAATTATAATATGTTTAGCACCTATATATTCTGAAAAAAATTGTTTAAAACCCTTCTAGAGTTTTTTAATAATTTAAATTATAATTTATAATTTTTGACAGCAAAAAATTATATGAAGTTTTGTAACATACAGTTAATATTTTTGTTAATTTACCATGTGTCTGATGGACTATTATTTGATGCAGGACTTTTTCTTTCTGCTCCTGGGGCTGGACTAATACCAAATAATCCACCAACTGGACACCTTTTATTTAATTCTACAAAAATAAATATAACACTTTAATAATAGAAATTAAAATCTAAAAACAGCTATTCAATTAAAGATATACAATGTATTCAATTCATTATCTAACACAATAGTAAAAATAATGATACTAATGTCTTTTATTACAGTACATTTAAGGAAGCAGTTTAATACCTACAAGTAAGATGGTATAATCACTGTTTATTTATATTAAATAAGTTACTAGAAAAATCCTCAAAATAAATTAATTTTAATTAACAATTACAGTTTATATGGAACTTAAATTTTTAATTCTAAAATATTTTTATGTTAAAATACTTCCTTTTTGTTAAAATATAATTATTTATATAATAAAATATAATATACATATAAATGTATAATGATAGTTTATGAACCATTTTATAATAAAATAATAATTACACAAAGTACACGATATAGGTATTGTCCATTTTATAAAATGGATTTCCATATAATGTATTTTCGTTATCTTTGTTATCTTCTGCTCATTACTCATTAACAGTTGTTACCGCAAAATCAAAATTAAAATTATAACACAATATCAGACATACTAATTCAAAATCATAGCAGCTATTTTTAATTCTTTCTTACTCTCTCATACATCTTTAATTGAGATATGAACTATTCTATACTTAAAGTTGGACCAAATCAAACACATGAGAAAAATTCAAAATCAGTTGTATAGTTTTGGACCAAATTGCATGCAAACCTTTTGTACGCTTAATCTTTAACTATAAAGATAGAAAAATAAAATGTCTTACCAGCTATAGATAATAATATTTTTCTTCTGGCGCCTAAGGCTGTAACACCAATTTCACGTAGGTCACTTTCTGTCAATGTCTTGAAAGTAGTCCAATCAATTTCATGAGATTTAAATAAATCTAAAGTACAATTATATCATATTATATTATGAGTTAATATTGAATTGAATAACTAACTAACTTATATATTTATCTAAACCAAGAATTGCCAAATGAGATGGTAAATCAGCAAATGAAGAAGATGTGATTTTAGACACAGTCGATGTAGGTGTAGAGTCAAGATGGTTACTCATTTCCATTGATGCCAGTTCAGACGTATCATTATTTATTTCTGGTGTAGAGTTACTCCATATATTTAACTCATTCTATAAATATTAAAATAATATCATTAAATAATAAAATAATTTAGATAAATGAAAATGAATTTACATCTCGTTGTCCTTTTAAAACTGCTGAAGGACTTGATTGACTAAAACCATAACCAGACCATACAGATGTCGGAACTCTTATTTCTGATCTATTTGGTTTTGTTTGAGACACTATTAACCATATATAATGTAAATATTAAAGTATAACAATTTTTAATATTTGTTTTTAAATGTACCTTGTGTTGCAGCAACTCGTAAATTATGGTAATCATAAGTAATCGGCTGTCTTCGAAAACCAGGTGCACGATTTTCAAAGATTTCTAAATCTAGAGTAGAAAATCAATTTTTTACATAAAAATCATATATTAATATTTAAAGTTAAGATTTTTTGAAATTAAAAAAGTTTTTGATAAATAAAAAATAAAAATACCCAATTCATTACATGATGACAACAAACTTTGATTTGGAGAAGTATTTGAGTCTTGAATATAATTAAATGCTAAAATAATGAAAAATATAATTACATTATGTACATTATTTAGAACAGTGATTCTCAAACAATAAGATGCAAAATACTACACGGTGGTACATGAAATATGTATAAAATAATTAAATATTCCATATAGTAAAAAAATATTAAATATTACTATTTTTAGTCATCAATGATATTGTGACTGTAACCTAATAAACATGCAAAAAAAAGTTTGAGAACCTCTAGTTCAACACAATCATGTATGATAATTTACTTGATTTTCCAATGTGATTGTTATTAGTTGATAAATTGTCCATTTTTATATCGTTAGATAACTGTTGTATTCTTGGACCCAAAACATTAATCTGAGAAATATTTCCATGATTGTTTACCAAGGGTAAATTGATTACACTATTTTGACATGATGAAGAAATTGATCCAGGGAAATTTGTGAAATTATTAAATCCACCTAAATTGTTAAAAGATTTATTTGAATATCTATTTCCACTGAAAAATTCTCCATTGGAAATTAAAAATGATGGATTTTCATTTGACACATTATATGTATTTGGTATACTTGGTGATATTATTTCTCCAGTACCACCTAGTAAACACTTTCTACCTTCATAAATGTTACCTGTAAAAATAATAATAACCATTTTATGCATTAAAGAATATTTAAAATTATTAAAAAAAATTACTTGCTTAAAAAATAAATAATCATTATTTTGAATGTCTTAAATTATTTATGAATAATTTTACAAATAAAATGATAAAATAAAAATAAATGTTTATATAATTACTAGACACTTACCTACAGATCTTTCAAAGCCTTTTATTGAAACTGTATATATATTTTGACTAGCTTTATGTCGAAGTGATATATAAATGTCTAAACGTTGCATTACACTGTCAATTTGTTCATGGGTTAGTACCATTTCGTCTTGCGGAATGTCAAACATAAGAAGCAATGGTAATGAACCCTAAAAACAAAAAATTCAATTTATAAATATTTATTTATTTAAATTTAGCAAAATATGAATAAAAATATTACAATAAGCATTTGACGAGCTGCATAGACATTATGTATATGACCAGTAATGGTAACACTGCTTTTTTTAATAGAAGGTATATTTGGATCCTTAGCATCAGGGAACAATATTTGAGCTCCAGTTCGGCGAGTGATAGCTCTAAGTGTTTCATTCCCCGGCCCCATTACTATTTTATGATGTTGAGGAGATATTTCCATAACCATAAGTATTAAAACTTGATTCTAAAATAATAACAATATTATTATTTTCTACTAATTATATTCTCTTATTTTTCATTGATAACTTAATAAAAATAATAGTAAAATGCATAACTAACATTTTATTTTTAATAAATATATAAAAGTATACTAAAATAATTTAATTTAAACTTGACAATTATTTATTGTTATGAAGTTATAGACTTAAGTGCCACTTTTCATTTTTTTTAAATATTAAAACTTACATCAAATATATTTCATTTTCAATTTTTAACTGAGATATATGGTTTCCAACTATGAAATAATTTATAAGTATTTAATAATAATAAAATTTTTTTTTCAAAATATTGCAGTTGGAAATGACAGATTTTTAAGTGAAAAATGTAGTTTAAAGCTTTTATATCATATCCCATAATAAAAAAAAAAAAAAGAATAGTATTAAATATATATATATATATATGTTGAATAATAATACCTTTTGTACAAAATAAAAATATTTAAATCATAATCAAACAAATACCTAATAAAAATTACTGTATTTTCATATCTATTGAACGGCGTTAACAATTTTATTATCAAAATATAATACCACTATATGAATTGTTTAAAATAATGAGATATTTTTAATTACGAATTAATAATATTTATAACTAATCATTTAAAATCTAGGTAATATTTATATAAATTTAATTTTTGTTAGTACAACGTGATTATAAAAATAATAATTTTTCTCGATTAACATATTATTTTATATCATATCTTACTGCAAGATTTCCACACATATGAGTTATAAGTTGCATAGTAGCTTCTTTCACTCTCACGACATCCCATTCATGTCCTTTAACCATAACCATAGTTGAATGAAGCTTGGGTCTAGTACGAAACATAACATGAACATTAAAATTTTCTTGAATAGAACCAATGTATGGGAATTGACTAGATGGATCTTGATAATTTTGAACGGTTCCAATGTTAGGCCAGTCAAAACAAAATATTAATGGAGTCAATTCCTAAAAATAAAAATAATTTTATTAACATGTTTATTAAACAGATAGCACCTTACGCCATCTTTCCTTTTGTAAAATATTTATACAGTTCATCATTAATAATTAACATATTTTTGTTTTTCCTATTACTAGTATTACCTACATTTTTATTTTTACTATACTCTGCGCAACGAGAGACCAGAACTTGCCGACGATTAAAATACGTCGTAGTCACTAGTCTGTACGGCGTGTTACTCGACATCAGTCACACGGCGACGACCAAGTAATGAGAGGAATTCTTTATTTGGATACGTAACAGAATTGTGGTTTTTCTTGGCGGGGAGTATAAGGAAAAGTTGGTAGATTTATGATTGTTTTATGCTTTCAGTTATAAATTTTAATGATAATATAATTGTTCAAAAATTAAAAGTTTAAAATATAATGGATATTATAACTTATAATTTAATTCTTACTCGAACTCGAGCTCTAGCCCGTTCTACAGCATTACAATTGCCAGCAATTGAAACTTGATTACTTTTTTCTAATAAACTTGTTCTGTTTGAATCTGGAAAGTGTATATGACAACCTGTGTTCTCCATCACTTGTTTAATGGTCAGACCACCACGACCGATAATATGCGAGTGATCAGTATAACTAAGATCTAGCTTCATAGTCACACGATTGCTCTAAGTACAATATAATATTATTATTTTTGAGTAATTATAAAAATTGTTCAAGGAGACAAAAAATATTCTCACTCGATCATCCAATACACTCATCACTTGCATTTTAGCTGCCTTAACATCTTCTGGGAGTCCTGCGATTCGAACATGTGGGTCTATATAATACATAATAAACATTTTATTTTAGAATATTATACATTGAGAAATACATACAAGTCTTAAAATATTATATGTATTTATACACAAGATCATTATTGTAATAAATAAAAAGCACTATAAAAGTAATACAGTGTTAGGCACTTTTTTCATACTTTTCTTGTGGTCATAAATGTGTAGGCATTAATGTATTTAAATTCAACAATAAATCTAATTCAAAAAATTACTCCTAGTGAAAATTTAATTTATTTAGTACTTTAAATGCTCATTAAATATATCAATCATAACTATTGGAAGTATAAAAAACTAAAGGTAAAAAAATGTTAGTTAAAAATTTCGAGACACTTTAGATGCAGTTAGAATGTGATTCGGTTATAAAATTATGATTCTTAAGTTAAGTGATTCCTAGTCCTTAAGTTCCAAATTCTTAAATTAATTTTATTATATAATTTATAATATAAGATAAATCTAAATATTCTAAACATAGTATAAAATTTAACAGGGGAAAATGAACATTCGTTGTTTAGAAACGAGCACCTATACTTTAAATATCATTATCTAACTATCTGAAATAAATAATAATATTCATTTTTTTATAAAAATGTTTATATTTAAACATCAAATATTAAGAGAGTTTTTTTTTGTGTAAATAACTAACGAGCATATCCGAAGTTTGGATAAGCAAGTAAGTGTCCTTAGAGTGTAGTCCACAATCTTTGAAGAGTAAATATCCTTATTCCTTATTTGCCACTACGGTCTACGTTGCACATGGACAGTTAAGTTTATACTTACTCTTTGTATCTAAATATTACTAAGCAAAAATGCTTATAAATAAAAATTATCCAACTTAAATGCTCAATGAATCAATGATAATATTCAAGCATATTAATAGGTACTTAGAAAAATATTCTATTTCAGATTATGTTGAGTGTTCAATGTTAAAAGAGTAAACCTATTTAACAAATTTATTAAATATCTATGTAGTATGCATAATCTTTAATACAGATTTTCAAATATAAACCATAGTACTATAATATGTAATAAATCTATTTTTATTGTGGCCATAATTTACGGGATTCCCAGTTTACGTTTTTGTTCAAATTAGAAATAGGTTTGGAAACACTAACAATATTTTACAATTTTATTATTTCCAACACTAAATATTTCTATTATGCAAAGCACAAGTCTTACTCCGCCCTATAAAACATAGTGTATAATATTTCTAATTTATTGAAAAAATTAACTTTTAATAGATTATGATTTAAGTAGGTAGCTGATTCTAAGCAATAAAAATCCTCGAATTAAAAATATTGTATATTATTTACTTCAATCGATAATAGCTCATTACACTACATCAACATAATTATATTAAAGAATAAAATAAATATTAACATCATCATCTTAATAGCAAACAGGTATGACTGGTATGAGGTATCTATTTAATATTTCAAATTTCAATAAACCTATTAAACATACGTAATGATCATAATCTAAATATGAAATATTTAATCCAATAAGTTGTCTTTATCATTTGAAATGCTTATGGATATGCTTTCAATTTAATGTAATCACTAATCACTAATAAATTCCAGACTTTTATTTTTTTTTAGCACATATATATTATATACTATACACATCCAGTATTATAGACATTATATTATGTGAATAATTTACAAATATTCGTTTAATGACAATGTCTTGTAGGTATTAATATTAAAAATAGCAAACAATATTTTCATTATATAAGGTGAATTAAAAAAAAATCAATATAATATATTGAAAACTCAAAATATTTTAGTAAGTTTCTTTATTAATTTATTTTTAATTCAATTTCAACTAAAATAGTTGTTTAAATAGGAATATCAAGATATTAAATTATGAACCATAATTCAAAGATTTTAATATTTAATAACTAATACTTTATAGATAAGTAGAGTAGATAACAAGGTAGCGGTTTTTAAGAAACAAACCATGAAATTATCTATAAAACTATTAAAAATCATAATATTTGATATTCTTATAATAATCGATTCATCAATAATTAAAACATATTTATAAATGTAGTTATTAAATGCGAATATTAAAAATTATTGTCTGTCTACATAAATTTTACAACATACCTTGAGTTTTATGAGCCTTATACTCAGTATTTAAAATTTCTATCCATAAAGTATCATCCTTAGTTGACCAAAAGAACGTTTGCTGAGGTTGATAATTTAAAAACTTTAAATCCTCTTTATTCCGTCTTAGATCAGTTAGCAATTGAAATAAATGAGACGTATTAATCATTGTATTTGTAATAATAAATAGCATCAAAAGTAAATATTGAAATACAATATGACGTAAAATTCAGAGAACAAATAGACAATATTAGGTAATGCAAGTATTTAATAGAAATTTGTTTCGTCTGTTTTTGTAAAGAATAAATATAACTAAATTTTTAACGATATACATTTTAGTTGTCGAACGGTCTAACAGACTTTTGAAAAGTAGGGGTATAATTTTGTGAATGTGATATTTATAGTAATCAAGTAAGTTTAATATTGATACGCGGCCGTCAGGCTGTGATTATCCGAAAAAAAACATTATCAATCATTCCATTATTTATAATTATTTTAATACTAATTTTAATTTTAATTCATTTTTCCTTTATCATAAATATCGGAAATGACTTAAAAATAATTAAAAGTAGTTTATTATTTTTTTCAAGTAGAAGAAAGTTTCTATAGGGCACCTAAAATCACAATAATAGCAATCATAATTAGGTACCAATAGGTGACATAATAATGTAGATTATAGATGTAGGCAAAATAGTTTTTAAGTCCATGCATGTATCTACCAAAGTATTGTTAAAGGTAAATAATTATTAAGTTTTTAAATAGTGAGTTTTTTATTTAAATTTTATATTCATTATTTACATTTTAGCATGGTTGTACTTTATATTATATTTCTCTCTGTCTCTATCGATTTGGATATTTTAAAATATAACAATTAACAAGCATAAAACATATTACCGGATTTAACAAAATTAAGTTCTTGCTGTTTACATTATTCACGTTATTTAGCTGTTATTATTATTTAATTGGGGAGAATAATTTATTATTAATATTATATAAAGTGAGGTTATTTTAACAGTAAACACTCTTTACCTCGAAAAAGTATTAACGTTATTGAAAATATGTTTAATTGTGAGTGAATCAATAAATAGTTTAAAAATAAATTTCACAATAATCTGTACTTAAATAATTGGAAAAAACTAAAGTTAAAATAACGATAATATTTTTACTCAACTGGCTTTCTACAAAACCGATTTTGTTTTTTTTTTTACTATCGTAATTCAGAAAAGAATAACCATTTACAGAAGAGAATTTTTACTATATATAGTTGGATGCCGTATGTTCAGATGGGCATCAATAGAGTTTTATAAATGAGTAGTTTTGATTTTATGTTCAGTTTGTGTGGTTTATTTTTATTTTCCATTTTTTGTACTAGGACGGCATACGGTTTAAATTAGTTTGTGGGTTATAAGTTATAAGCAACAGTTATTGGATTTACGTGTGAGGAATAAATTATTTTGTCATCAGCGAAATCCGTAACAAAAGTGTGGTTGGTCAGCCGAGTATAGATTGAACAGAATAGAAGATAAAATGGTACCTTTTGGAGGACTCTTGCTGCTATTGGGGTTAAAGCCGAAATTTCAAACCCTGCCTTTGTTGTGAAGTAACGGTCTTCGATGTACGATTTAAAGAATAAGTAGTAAGTAGAAAGATTTTTTTTTTCTTATTTATCTGAAGTTGGCAAATTAGTGGATAAAAACTTATTTAAACAAAATATAAGGATATTTTTATTATTTATCTAAAAATATTGATAAAAAATATATATACCTTGTCAAGAAACTGAAGAAAATTAAGTACAAAGTTCCTTGAAATTTTTTTGTAGGTACTAGAATTAAAAAAAAGTTTAGGGTAAATCTATAATAATTGTTTTATAATTAATTATATGACGTAAATTTGTTACGTAATTTACCAAAATTGTGAAAAATTGCAAATTATTATCTGTATTTATGCGTAAGGTTTAAAATTTAATTTAAAATATTAAAGATATAATTAGAGTATAAATTGAATTCAAATATAAAATTATTACGATTTATCTTCATACAAAATTTCATGTCATGGTGTAATTATTCTAAAAGTATTTTTGTTTTATTATGAACATTAATTAAGTAACTTTCAGTCCGTGACTATGATAGCTTGACATTTATTTTCAAAAAGTAATAATAGTAAAATATTGAAGAATTTCAGTTTCTTAAACTATTATTTTCTTTGATCTATGAAATTATTAACACATTTAGGTTAAATTTAAACACCTTATAGCCTTAAATAGGCAAAATTCTCGTTTTTTAAATGTTACTATAAAACGTCATGGTCTTTATGTTAAGTAAAAGACCTAAAACAAAAATTATGATAATTTTTAAGCTATTTAAAGTGTAAGTCTATTCACGCTATTCTACATTCTACGGCAAATCGATATTATTTTATAAATTAATAAGTAATAATAATAATTAATAAATAATAGTATACCTATAAAGTACATAATATTATATAGGTACTATATATTTTAGGCAAAAGATAGTTTAACTACCATATTACTCATGGAAAAATAAATAAGTTATAAAATATCCTTGGTAATAGAGAATGTATCCGCTTAGAATGGTTTTCCGTATGTAATACATTAATTAAAATATTATTATTGAGTTATAATAATAGTTAATACAATGATGACCTACTCGATGACATGGTGCACTCGAAAACTACTATAGTCTATAATGGGTATAACACAGTGACTTTTCTGGTATTTTTTTTTTTTTAAACAACTTGTATAAATTCTTTATACACTTTATTGTTTTGGATGATAACAAATAACCAAACCTAACCCGAGAATTTTGATAGGTACATAAAATTACTTTAGTATTCAAAGTTTAGATGAGTAAACTAGGTATTATGAAAAAACTACTAATAGATTATTTGATATACCAACCTTTTTTTGATTTTGCTCCGATTTTCAGTCTAGTTGGCCACAAAATTAGTGTTCTTGTGTCAGTCATTACCTTAAAAAAAAGTGAACTATTATATTATGTTAACTAAATCATTATTACAATGTAAAAATTATCAAAATATTAATAACAAAAATTAAAAATTAATTTATAAAATTACTTTTTGAAAAAAGTTGACTGCTGTTATTCCGTCCTCGCCATCACCTAAAAAAATACGGTTGGTACAAATTAGATAAATATTTATCAATTATTTTTAAACATCTAAATTATGTTCAAGATTTAATATTTTTTATCAAACATGATTTAAGTTTGTAAAATATCAAAATAAAAAATAATTTAGTAGATACTATTATCTATTATTTATAATTCATAGATATATAATGGACCCTTTAAAGTATATAAGTACCTATTTTATATAATATTATATAAGTATTGTATTTATTAAAAATTGTTAAATAAATTATACATTTTAAATTATTAAATAATAATATGATATACCTATGTATAAAATTATTTATAGAATATGATTAATATTAATTGGTGTTGAATAAATTGTGAACAAAATATTAATGAAGGGTGGTATATTTTTGTTACATACATTTATTAGATAATAATGTGTTATTTTAATGTCGCTCTAATTTTTTATTTCATAATGATTTATGAACTAATAAAATTGTTTGATTGATACAATACATTATTTGGTATAAAATATAGATAAAATGAAAGCTTTATTTCAGCACATTATCGTTACTTTATTGTCATAATATCATTCATGACAATTAATGTTTTTTCGTACCTATTCTTATATATACCTATTTATAGATATATTGATCGTTGCTTAATATCTATACTATAATCAGTGGCAGCCCAGGGGGGAGGATAAGGGTAAATCCCCCCATCGAATCAAGAAAATAAAGAAAAATTGTTAGGTGTAGATAGTTTTTTTATCTGATGACTTTTTTTTTTTTGCTATGAACCTCAGACTATAATATTAAATTATAATAGATTTATTTTGATACTTAAATTGACATGTGAATCGTGTTATTATTATTATTATTATTATTTTTTATTTATTTAAAAATTTACAATTTATATACAAGTTAATATAATAAGTAAATGTGTTGATAGTTACTAGACGTGAACACTTGAAGGAAGGGAGTGTCCATTGACACTACTTCCAATCGTGTTGTCTTAAATATTTCAGATATCGAAATTTTATTGAGACCACATATCATGACTTCATGAGTGAACGTGTGAGTGATAAACCATATAATTAAGTTAAGAAATATTAGTGGAAATTTGTTTATTTGAGCCAATAGTTAGGTTATGGGTAGGTAATCATAATAAACTTTTATAATCAGTTTAATGCTAGTGTTATTAGATCCCTCAACGGTTTAACAATAAAGTAATAGATCTAAAGGAAGTATTATGTACAAAATATTAGTCTTCAAATTTTATGTAAACTGTGTGGTTATCCCGTTATCACAATATACCAATTAATGAAAATTATTCAACTAATCCACCATGGGTTGGGTGGTTATTTAAAAGTGACTTATAAAACCGTTTTACCTACCTAAAAAGTATTATTTAATTAATAAAAAAATTAAACACGAACTAAACTGTCACAAAGAATAGAGTGACATTGTAACAGTACCTCTAGGCTAGTATAAACGTATAGTAGTGCCTAGTGAGGTAGTAAAGTATTAAATGGTAACCATGAATATATGAGGTATTTTATCTCAAAATCTTCGTGGCAAGAGGTAGGTACTTATTAAACATTACGTCGGGCATAACAATTTGATTTTTAGCTGTTTAAATTTAACAAATACCCATAATATCAATATTAGCCGGCTTTACGATATGATTTCTTTTTAATAAAATGAAATTTAAATTATCTTATTCCAAAATCATTGAAAAATTGTAGTCTTTATAAATTACGTATTATTTTTTTAAGATGTTCCCTTTGCCTGTATAAATGTATAAGTATTGTATGTTTAAGAATTAAAATTTATTTATTTAATGTTTACTTATAAAAAATATATTTTAAAATTTTAAATTAAAGTTGATCTATATTCAATTTATTAAAATTACATAATCCATTTCAATATTAATGAATTTTAAAATTGAACTTGCACCTATTTTAAAATATATTTTGTAGTCTCGGTCTTCCAAATGCAAGAAGTAGCAAATATATGTTCAGCACTTTCAATTTTGTGTAATTATTTTTAGTAATAGAGAAAATTTATCTATGATCAAATTTAGAGATTAGAACATTATTTGTGCTTTTTCGTTAATTTTTATATTTTAATTTTCATACAAATTATGAAAATTCTTGAAAATTAAATATTATTAAATTTCACGAGAAAGCACAGATAATGTTTTTATTTTTAAGTTTAATGATATAGATCAATTCTGTCTATTATTAATAAATAGTAATTGTTCAACAATAAACTATTGTAAAACTGCTGAATATTAATTTAAAATGTCACGTTGCATGACATAATAAGACAGAAACAAATGAGGATGTTCCAACATTTCAATAAATTACCCATCTAAATTAAAAACTAGAAAATAAGTTATTATTTATTAGTATAGGTCTATCTTATTTTTATTATCTTTATTAATTAAACGAATTCAATGTATACATTTAAAAAATATATATATTTTATTTTTATTAGATCGCTTAAAATTTGTAATGTGGGTTTTTCCACAGAATACTACTATTACATAACGACATGGCGTTAATACTTAATCCATATTAAAGTATATTGTGTTATATATAATTTAATAATAGATACATAATTTTGATTTTAATTTATATTTAGAATGTAGCTAGGTGTAATTAAGTTTTATTTAAAAAAATCTTACAGTGCAACATGGCCTCAAGTTTTTTTCTGTCGACTTTGAATCGTTCCTTGGCCAAATCATCGGCTGATTCTAATCCTAAAGAAGTCGCTAATTGATGCATTTCTTCTCGGCTGTCGCTATAACTCCTGCCCGATGTCCCTGTACCAGAATCTGATATTTCGGACATTGTATCCGAGCTGGCAGCCGAAGTCATCATGATCGAAGATATTGTGGCCATGCTGTTCGCTGTGCTGTTGGTCATTGTGCACTGTTCGAATAATGCTGTTTGACTATCTATTTGAGTATAATAACCGGGACGTCCAAAATATATTGTACAATATATTACAGAAATCGCATTAGGTTATCTTAAGATAACGACTTAACAGATAATTTAATTTAAACTATAAGGTAAAGTTACTAAAATAAAATCCATCCATATAAACCTAATCAATTAATGGAGAGGATATACTATACAAGATGTAGGGGTCTCAAACATTTAATTTTATATCGCAATTTCGATTAATTATGTGTCCTATAATCTACAGTCTTATTTAGACGATTTTTTGGCTTTGAACAATTTCCATAAGATGATTTTCTATATTTCCTATAGTATTAAACTAGATAGTAGGTAAACTATTGGTACCTACCTATGTATTTAGTGAAGTACAGAATAGTGTACATAATAATTAATAATACTACAAATAACAATATAAGTAGATTGTAAGTTCCTAAATATAAAACAGTTATATAATACAAAGATTTGAAATTATGTATCAAAATTTAAATAATAATAACGCTTAGATTTTAAATTTACTATAAAATTGTATTTAAAATTAGGTATATAATTTTTTTTTTTATATTATCGTTTTTTCGAAGTTAATTTAATTAAAAAGCATAAATATACCTATTATTATTTAATAATTGTTTTAGACTATGTATTTTTTTAATTTTATTTTTTTTTATTATTTTTGAATTCTTTAAATCTTAACATAAGTGTTTATAAAAGTTTATAGTTTACACCAGCAATTCGAAGTATTACAAAGGTATATCTTATGTACAAGTATACTTGGTAAATACAAAATTGAAAATTCTAAAGACCTATCTAAATTTAAAATATTGAATTCGTCGGTAAAATTCAAAATAAGCAATATAAATATCTCAAGACACATTCTTGATGACATATGACTTAGCTTAAATATTTTTTGTTTTTGAGAAGGAATTTTGAAGAAATGATTTTTAAATTTTATAACTGAAAATATAAAAATATACTTATTTAATATACATAAAGGTTAGGTTCCTATTAAATATTGCATTTCAAGGGAACTTTTAAATTATTTAAACAATTCTTACCAAACTATAATATTACTATGGAAAATATTCTAGTAAATTTGTATTTTCAAAACAACAATACATTAACATTTAAAAGATATTATATATCGTACATTGTACATAAAACGATTAAGATTGATATTAAACACATAAAATGAATATTAAATCAAATAAAAACCAATAAAATATTTTAACAAATATTTTTAAAAATGTATATTATTTGTTATCATAAAACAATTATTTCTTTGTATAGAAAATGTTCAATAATACATAATTATTATTATAAATTCATCTGGCTATATTACTTAAATCTAAAGATACTTAGATACGTATAAAGCTCTAGGTGCGACGAAGTTTTTACTTTGAAGTTTGTCTTTTTTTTTTTTAATTTGGCTTTATTAGAAGAATTACGATCTATACAAGGTACAATAAGTTATAGTAATAGAAAGTATTTCTATAAAATAATAGAAATCTTAAACCTGATAGATCTATATATATTATATATATACACAGAGACAACTTGTCAGTCGCTATAACGTTGTGTCATGCAATGTGTAACCATAACAATGCACCATAGATTTGTGTAGGTATCTAATTTATTAGAAATTAATTTTAGTAATTAATTAATAACTATTTACTGTATATGACTATATATATAAATATATATATTGGTATATACCTGTCTATAAATTATCCTAACAAGGATGATAATAATAAGACATAGGTACATTTTAATGTACATATACACCGATAAAATCTTGTACAGATTTAGTTAAAAATCGATATCAAATATTCTTTAAAAATTTGAATTAGGTACAATAAAATGATTTTTTGATTTTCACTTTTTTGCGGTAAAAATGTAATCGTCATCCGCAATTAATCGGTACCTACTTGATGCTTGACTCCGGACATTCGATCACATGAAAATCAAATAATAATATTATTTCAATGCGAATATTAGAGTATATATTTATATATATTACATAGTATTTAATTTGTATAGGTTAACATAGGTATTTTGTAATTTAATAGCTAGTGCATATCAAATAAAAATATAAAATTAATATTGAACACGTGTATTACGTGTGATGAAAAATCTAATCCAGCTCGTGGAAGGTGGTATGCGGTGCCAAGAAGGGGCAAATCCCCTCTCCGGATTATTATAAATGCGTATTATTTTAATAATGGTTTTTTTTTCTTTCAAATTAAACACCTCGTGACGAGAATACGATGAATAGGTATTGTTAGTGGTTAGAATTGATTTAGTCAAATGAATTCTCGAATATTAAAACAAAGTTAGGCCGTGGGTAGATACTAGGTACATTATAATATCAATGCAAAAATAATAAATATTAAAAAAAAAAAAAAATGATTTATCTAATTTTACCTCTTATTGCATTAACTTATGGCGTTTTAATACAATAGATATACATAATACATATTTACTGCCCTGACAAAAAATATACTTATATTGGTATAATGGTATATTATTTATGCTCGGTCTTTGGGCATAATATATTGGTATTGTTCTTCTAACATCCAAAACGAAGCTGTACATTAATACCTACATTTGTTGTGGTAGCTTCCATACAGACTTCAGTCTACAGACTACAGTATTGTGTATGCTATGGTCTATGGAGTATGGACTATAATATTCATAATTTATAAACATTTTTAATTTAAACCCCCACCCTTGCCATCAGAACGGCTTTACAATAGTTATTAATAAAATGTCCGCTCCTTGTGGGTGCTGCTCTTCAAGTGTAGTAACTAGTAAAGTAGTAAGTACTATAAAAGTATAACAGATTATTGAATATTTAACAGTATCACATATTGAATAATGTACCAATGTTTAATCGAATTACAAAAAAACACGGTCTCGTGCACATCGTCATCCCGCATTCGTCAGGGTACTCGTATTTTGTTCTCTCAATTCTCATATTGATATCTAACTATCTAAGTATAATGTTTCCCACTCTACAAAAACTGCGAATAATAATAAAATAATTGATTATTTCATTTCTCGTAGTAGCTTGACACTTAATAAAATCGTGTAATATTGTAGTTTGATATTGCATTGTTAGGTAACACAATATTTGAAATGTTAGATGGCTAATGACAATAGACATTGGACAATATTTTCTGATTTTACACCGCAGTCCGCAATACTGTATTCTTTAATAATTAATTAATATTTTGTGGTGTGTGGGACAGTCGTGGTTTGTACGATTTAGTTTAGTCTCCATGATTTCTGTTGGTCACATTGTGCGGTGTATGTAATTATTATGTATCTCACAATTGATCAGACTGTTACGGTGTAAGCTTTCCAGTTCTTTGTTTCTTTTTTTTTTAATGTTAAAAATGTTATAAGTTTTTATTTTTCATTTCATTTTCTTTTTCCCCTCTTCTGTTGTATTGTCCCTTTTCATTTCTGGAGTGTCCAGTCGTAAATTATCACTCTAATTCATCATACAAATATACATTATGTTAATCTTATTAATCACTTATAAAATGTGCTGTTAATGTATAAGCTACCTATACATAATTGCTTTGGACTTGACTATAAGGTAAGTCTGTTAAAACTACATCAAAATGTGGAATGGGTTGCCAATTTTTCTCTAATGTTTATACATTCAATACCTTGTTATTTGTTCACAGTCTAGTAAAAACAATGCACATAACTAACCACAAACAGCAGGGCCATGGACGAACAATCTACTCGTCTGGTGCATAGCTCGACAATCCGCACCAGAATGGCCATTCCCAACATCAAAATGACTAATCCAATTAAAAAACTGGTCAGTAAACAAAGAAAACGTTATACAGAAGATGGGTTCAACCTCGATTTGACTTGTATCCTTTGAATTTACAATTGATTGATTATTTTATAAACCTGAAGTACTTACTTATATTGCAAACAAATACATGTTTAGATATTTTGAATATTACTTTTTTATTAATCAAAGGTTATGTTATGTTATAATCATCATACTTTTTTTAAATCAGATGATTTTTTATTGAAATATATAGTACAACATTTTAAATACGGTTAATATTTTTACTAAGCCATTTTTGAAAACATGTATACCTTTTTGTTATATGAAAATGTTAACTTAATGACATAATATAATTATATTTGAATTTGATTAATATATTAATTAATGACATTTTCTTACGTTGAAATAAAAAATTAAACTTCCTATTTAATTGTTTTTATAATATGTAATAATATGTAAATCAATCAATTAAATGTATTTAAAATTAACTGGAATCTATTGGAAATATAAATAATTTTAATAGTAAACATTCAGTACGTATATATATAACAAAACAAAATATTTTTCTATTAATTTTGATTTAGTAAATTAGTTATAACTTATTAAGTATTTTAACATCCATAATCAATTAACTATTAGCTCAAAATTTCTTTTTATGCCTAAAATTTTTCAGAAAAATACTTTGTTTTAAGATAAATAGAATTTAAAATGTATGTTATCAACTGTTTTCCAGAAAAGTAAAAACTTAAAGATGATTATGATAAAATAGATTAATTTGATTAAAGTGTTTTTTGAATTATAGTAAAATATTTAAAAATTTTTTTAATATTTTGGGATAATGAGAGTATTTTTCTATTTTAACTGATTTTGTAAATAATTACTTGGCAGTTAAAATTATTACCAGTTTAGTCTCCAGTACACTTATTACGTGATTTAAATTTATTTATTTTGTCTGTTGAATTTCATTAAACTAAAATTGTAAAGATATAAATTAATAATATTTGATAAAAAGTAGTAGAATCTTTTATTTAGGTTTTGTCTATGTTTTCCTTAATTAATATGATTAGATATTTTACACAATGTGATCGCAATGGGATTTCCAGCAGAAAATTTAGAAGGTGTAGTTTACCGAAATCATATAGATGATGTAAGCAGACTCCTTGATCAGAAACATCCTAATCATTATAAAATATATAATCTGTAAGTATCTATTTGAATTGAATTAAATTAAATATTTTTATATAATCAATCATTAAATTTTGTATTTTTAGTTGTTCCGAACGATCTTATGATTCTCGGAAATTCCACCAGCGTGTAGCTACCTACCCATTTCAAGATCATAATCCACCTAGTATTGAGGTGATTAAACCTTTTTGTGAGGATGTTCATCAATGGCTTAAAAAAGACAGCAGAAATGTAGCTGCTGTACATTGTAAAGCTGGAAAGGTATTTTTTTAATTTTTTTATGAGTTATATTTATTTGTTATTGATTAACTAATTGTTTTATTATTTTTAGGGCCGAACTGGTGTAATGATATGTTGCTATCTAATACATAGTTTTCAATGTTTATCAGCAGAAGATGCTCTCAATTATTATGGCCAAAAGAGAACATTTGATAAAAAGGTATTATTTATTGTATTTTTAAATTAAAAGAGATAACATTTTATTATTTATTTATAAAATTCTAAGTGTTTTATTTGGGTATAAGATTTGTTTCATTTTATGAATACAATTAAAATTATACATATTTATGTGTATAAATAATTTTAATTTCAAGTATTAAATAAGTATGTTTAATTTTGAAGCCAAGAATAAGTTTATTTATTATTTAAATACATTTTAAGAAGAAGATTGTGTTCTCAAGTTATTTTTATTTAAGTTATTCAAATGCTTATGTATTTGTTTTCAAATTTTATTGAGTATTAAATGTTCAATACGATTTAATGAATAAATTAAAATGTGATCAATATTATGAAAATTATTTAAATTGTCTAGTATGTAGTTGTGATTTGGCAATTAATTAATTTAATTTTTAATTCATACATACCTTGTTTTATTTTTTTCTAGGGTGTCACTATTCCCAGTCAAAGAAGATATGTCAACTATTATGCAATGTTAGTTGAAAAAAATTTAATTTACAAGCCTGTGGTATTGACAGTAAAGGAAATAAAATTAGATCCAGTGCCTAATATTTTTAATTCGGGGCAAACATGTAAGTATTTATATTTATATTACTTATCAAAATTATTTTTAAGTATATGACTTAAAATTTAAATTAAATGTTTAGGTATCCGTTTAGTAATATCAGAATGGATAAATGGAGATAGTTCAAAAATCAGAAAAGTATATTCATCTGATGTACAAGACATGCGGCGTAATGCTTCTGATGTAACAATTCGTTTAACACAAGTGACTCAAGTTCTTGGAGATGTGAAAGTAGAGTGTTACAATAAACATAAAATGAAGAAAAAGGTATAAATTTATAATAAAGTATTTTTATTAATTAAAATTTTTACATTTATCATCTCAAAGTATAATATATTCCATTTTATTCATTTACAATTTTCTTTTTAAAATATTTAAGGTTTTCAAAATATTTTTGTATCTAGCATGTCTGATGTTGTGTTTGTCCATCCTGAAATGAATTTTCATGTTTTTAATTGAATTCATTTCATTTATTCTTTCTGATACATGCAGGTACACACACATATATCACTAATATATAGGCGGTATGTCAAAAGGACGTAAGCATTACATTTTACAGACAATCCAAAATGTTACAATTGTGTTTATTTTTTGTGTATTATATTTTAATGTGTAATACTTAAAAGATTTATTTTCATTTTCTTAAATATTATCTAAAAACAAATTTTTTAATATTTTTTTTGATCTTTTTTTAGTGTTAATTAATTTAAAAGACTATGTATTATTATTTTATAATATAAAATCTCAACATTTTATGCTAAACAAGTGTTTAAGAAGCAATTTGTATAAAATGTTTTTTAAATGCTTAACCAAAAATTATAAATATATTATTAATTTATAAGGTAGGGTAACATTTTAATTATTATATTTTATAATTAAAAAAAAAAAAAAAATTCGGTAATAATAGTGAATAAAAAAAAAAAATAAAAAAAAGTAATTTTACCTATCAATTATAAACTTAAATATTATTGTTTTTGTTTTAAGAGTTCCTATATTTAGTATTGTTTAATTGTTTCAGGAAAAACTATTTCATTTCTGGTTTAATACTTTTTTCGTTTGTGAACCAGCTGTAACTGAAAATAGTAATAGAGAAAATAAACATTGTGGCCAGCAAGAAAAAACTGTCCATACAAATAATATGGATGATTCAACTAATTTTCGATTTCCAAATAATCAAACGCGGTAAGTTTATAAACTGTTTTGATTATTTAATTTTCATTTAATTAATAAATATAATATAATAAAATTAACTCGTGATGTGTTTTATAAATATTTCTATATACTTTTTAGTAACATAAATTATCTAGTACTTAAAAGTATTATGAAAAGAATTTATAATGTAATATAATAGTGATTTTAAATATTTATGTAATAGTACAAACTCTATTGGTCATGTGGGTGGAAGTGATAATCGCCTGTTGACATTAAACATGAACAAATGGGAATTGGATGGCCATAAAGATAAACAAAATAAACTTTTTAGTGCCGATTTCCATGTAAGTTTATTATTTGAATGTACTGATGTTTCTGAACCAGTTGTTGGTGAAACACTGTCAGAAAGTGAATCAAGTAGTTGCACAACAGCTGAAGAAGAAGAAGATGGATGGGAATCTGGTCAGTGATTTATACAAAAAAATAATTAGCACATTATTAAAAAATAAGGATTAGTGAAAAAATAATTTTATTATTCTTTTAAAATATTTCTCATTTAGGCTATCGCTTTTACTACCTGTCTCATTAGGCTTGTGGAAAATATTAGTATAATATACACATGAACAAACTGTCACTTGTGTATCATTTTGTAACTATTATTTTCCCTTGTATATACTTTAATTTTTTAAACAAAAATTTTCTTTATATAAAAACCAAATTTGATATAATTAATATTTTTATTCTTGTTTGAACGTTTTAGTAAAACGCTATCATCCCTAATTATTGTTGTGTAGTATTTTTTTAGAATAATGATTGGTGAAGGCCGCTTTATTCTCTCCCTTAGGCTTTCGTAAACCTGTCGCTTGAGCACAATACATCTGATGGCGTAGATGCAAATGTGATTGTGTTTCCGGTGGTTCTAGGCGAGTCGACGTATCTGTAAGATATTGGGAGTGCCACAAACAGAAGACGAACAACATAAACGTATTTTTATATGTATATGTATATGTATATCTATATATGTATATAATAACTGCAAGTTAATGTTTTTTTTTTAAGTTAAAAATTTATATAGATTATAACAATTATTATAGTCTGGATTTTAAAAACTCCTCCATAATTAGGCATACACTCGCCTATTTTATTATTTTTATAGTACAAAGAAAATAAAGTTTTAATTCTGATAACTTTATTAAAAAATTATTTTTTATTTTCGTGTTCATCTGTTAATTTTTATTTATATGTCTTTTTTTTTTTTAAGTCTTCCAATGTTGCCATTGAATAAAATAAAATGGACTTTAGGAACAATTTTTTTTTTTTTTTTTTTTTTAAATTTTTTTATGTTATAATATTTATTTATATATTAATGATTAGAATATAAACTATTCTGTAAAAGTTATAGCCTACTATTTCATGTTTAATAGGATTGTTGCCATGGTTTTACATTTATTTACCAGTATTATAATTTTTTTTTCACTCATTAATCTTTAAAACCAATAATAGTACAACACAAGAACAATTTAATATTGTATATTTTGTTGTTATATTTTAATGCATAAAAAGTTTGAGATATAATTTCTATAAAATCATTATATTATGATTTGTCATATTGTCTTAATTTTTTTTTTCATTTATACTTATAATTAATAAGGTAAAAAATATCACATTTTTTATTTGCTTTATTTTTCAAATCATTTAGTTTTTAATAATTATGGTAATGAATAATGATAAATTCAGATTGTTTTTTACTTATTTATTGGAAGTATATTGGTAATATATTTTTAGACAGCAAAAATGTCTATGTCAGTAATTATTAACATAGAATTGTAAACATTTTGAAAATATGTATTGTGATATTTTCCTTTTGGTTTGTGATACTATGTCGATTATGACTTGTATTTTTTTTGTTATTAAAAAAAAAAAATATTTTACTATTATTAAATAACATTCAACTCTTATTAACCATTGCTATAGTAATCCATCCATTATAAAACAAAATGGATTGGTTTTTTTTTTAAGAAAATTATTGGGTAGTAGCAAAAGGATTTAAAATTCTGTTTGTTCCTTGGGCTAACTGAATTTTTAGATGAACACTGGTGCTGGTATTTTTTTTTTATGTAAATTCAATATTGCAAATGTTATGAACGATTTGAATTTAAAACTGTATCCTCATATATAAATACCTCAAAATGTTTTTGTTCAAAATAAAATGTATATATATATATATACATATATATATATTTAGCCAAGTCTCATGTCTGTATTCAGTCAATAAATTCTTGTTAAAAAAACGCATAAATTCAGTCCATTTTGTATATTTTAGTATCATTAATAAAATCATAATTTAATGTCAAGTAATATTTTAATATGCTTATACAGCCGCAATTAACACAAACAAATGTATTTAATAATTGATTATAACAATTTATAATGATAAGTTGAGTTGGTAGGTAATGTGTATGTTTTAATATTATAATCAGTTGTATAATTACTGAAAAGGTTTGAAAGTATTGTTTTCCATTTAATTAGTAACAAGTAACAATCATAACATTGGTCAGTTTATTATGTTCGTTATAATTTTAATTACCTTCTGCGTATAGCACAAAATCATATGCATTGCTACATAGTACACTATTCGTATATTGTACATATCAAACAATTTCTCGTCCTTGAATGATATTGTTACTGACGGAAATAAGATTTTGTTCATCCATTTATTAACTAATAAATACTAACTTCAGTTTGAAAAATGTTACATATGATATAATTTATATTATTTATAAAACAAAAATTTTTACTTAAAATCAATAGATACTATTATATGATGTGAGTAATGTTGGTATAATCATGTTAAGACCGACATTAATTTTTCTGTCCGTTAAAATTATGTCTATGTTAATTTGTTACCTACAGTTTACAAACTATAATAAAAACAAACTTAAAAATAGTATTTACTTTTTTTTTTTTACTAAATTATGTACGTCTAATAACTTATTTAACTTCTCAACAATTGATGTTTTTATTTAACTATTTTTTATATGTATTAGTTATACTTTTTAATTGTAATCAAATGAGTGTCTCAAAAATTATGCGATTTTATCACAGAACTGACCTATTCTATGATTTTATTAGATAATCAGATAATTTTTTTGAAAGATTAAAGGTATACACTTAGTTAGTTTCATAATCATAATTCGCAAATAATTGTTTTATATTATGACATAAATACAAATAATATACATTTAATTTAAGTAGATTTCTTTATTTTTGGGTAACTTAAATACTTTATAAAACGATATACTTGTAGTTATGAGCAGGTAAATTAAGTTTTAATTGTTATAATATTTTAGGTACAACCATAATTAGGGTGGAGTAAAAAAGAAACCAATTCTAATTTGTAAAAAAAATAAGAAAGAATTTATGTGTTAAGATTGTTTTGTAAACTAAGTAGGTATAGGTAACTTAGAATTGTTTCGGCGATGGTTAAAGTTACCTACTATGAAATTAAATGCACAAGAACAGAGAGGATGTGGAATGTTGAATACGAGATGGATTGATAGAATAGAGTAACTAAAGAAGAATACACAAAAAATAGTCACGATAAAAGTGAGGTACACTCGATGATTTATAGGGTTAGGTTATAGGCTATAACCATGTAGAGGAGTAGGTCGTAGTACAAAAATAATTAGCACATAAAATTGGTTGCAAAGAAAAAAGAAAATCGTAATACCTAGAATGTAACTTGACTTTGATATACCTACCTAGTGAATGATAATCAATTTTCTTCACTATAAAAAAAAAAAATAATGTATAGATTATAAATTTTAATTTAATATTTTGAATTACCATTACAATACAATTTTAGAAATAAATCATAATTTATCGACTGATTTGTGGTATTCACCATTCTACATACCTACCATAATATCTATACAGACTATTCGACAATAATGATTATAATAAATAAATAACGTAGTAATGTTTTTCTATTTTCTATGTTATTCTACTTACAGTCTAATTGAATATTAAATTTCGTGTGACAAAAGTAGTGGGGATTAATGGTTTGTTTTGGTTTTCACGTGATCTGTTTATTTCATATAATTTTGATGTCCATATAATATAATTTATTTATATGTTATACAAGCCACAAGGAGGATTACTACTCCCCGCTTCCAAAAAATGTATTGTAATAAAATTATAAGCTCATAATAGTCATAACATTATCTTAGCTTATGCATCTCTCTATGATAATGTAAATAAATGTTGTCATACATCCCACCATATATTATAAATTATTTTTTTATAATATAGATATTTAGAAAAATTATAATACTATAAAATATATAACAACCATAAAATATGTTTTTTTTTTTTAATTTTAATTTTCTACAAAGAAAATTATGTGTACTTTATATAAATTAGGATACGATACAGAAGTATTTTATAAAGAACAATTACCTATAGTTAATAATTAAATCACATAATAAATTTAATTTAAAAAAAGAAAATATGATTTATTCTGTGGTTAAATTTTAATTAAAAATAAAAAAATTTGAATTTTTTCAACAATTAACTAAAAAATAGATTACTAATTCGAATTAGAATATTTATGAAGTACCCCGTAAGCATTATGAACACGGACGTCCATTCTCCCTAAACAGAGTAATAAAAATTCTTATTATTTTGTTGCCCTAGAAAAAGCAAAAGTATTATAATATATACAATTCTTTATTCTTTCCGCAGACTTTTATAGCGTTATATTCTAATGTAATATAGCAATGTCCTCAGATCATAACCTTATGTAACCAAAGACGGAGCCTTCAACTGTTCAATCCATACCTACTATATATAACAAATTACAATAATACAGAAAGCTTAAGTAAAAATCTGTGTATTGGTAAATTATATCATTATTCATTAATATAGTATCTTAGTTCATGTCTACAACCATGTTTAGGTTATCATTTTTGGTATTTAGATAATATATTATCAGTTATCACTAATCACGATTTCAACGCAGATAGGAGTAATACACAGATATTTGATATATTATACTCATATTCTACGACATACTTACGTTGAGTAATATTTTTATTTTTTATTTTGTGTCTAAAAACATCAGGCAATTGGTATCAGCATTAATTTCGTGCAAAAAAATAAATAAATAAAAATCCAATATTCTTACTGAAAAAGTTTTTTGATTTTTTAATATTTTCGTAATGAATAATTATATCGATCACGGCCTTATATTACTATATATTGTATAACATGAAATGTAATTTATTTTTGATTAAACTATTTTAGTTGCTATTGCTGACTTAATTGATCTTGTAACGTTCGTCGTATTTTTTCTTATATTCGTATAAATAGTAAAAAATAAAATTAGTTTTGTTACAGTTGTATTTAATCTAATTTATAAAATCACACAAAAAAAAAAAATTTCATTTCATTCAAATATTTCAGATAATTAACTTAGATAAACCAATTTATATTTATTTTAATCATACCTAGTTGTTAAAATTTTAAGCATTGAATAATTTTAAAATGAGGCGATTTATGCATTTAATTAATGTAGTACCGATGTTGCTAAAGTAAGTAACTATTTACATTAATTTTTAAAAGAAAGTAATTGATATTGCCCATATTTTAATAGGATTGAGATTATTTTTGTTTAAAGCAATTAGTTATAAAATATATAATTTTATTTAATCAATGATGCGGTATTTATTTAATAAAAAACCATTCTATTTAAAAAAAAAGGCTTGATAAGTTCTGTGAGTAGCTTTATTTTTTGTGTTAGTAATGGCAGACTGGGAGAAATTCAGAAAAAACATTTTTTTTTTTTTTTTTTGACTCGTATATGCGTCAAATTTTTCTTATCAAAATAATCAGAAATCTGGGTTTTTATGTTAAATAATAATATTACATACTTAATACTTATTAGATAATATTTTAATTTATAATTTTACCATAATAATATTAATAAATATATATTTTGTACAAGCAGCGGCCCACCGGGAAAATTCCTGGTATCTCGGTCGCTCAGTCCGCCACTGTGTGTTAGCAATAACGTTTTTAGTTATTTTATAGTATACTTTTCCTCTATTAAATATATTTTATTAAATTTTCAGTTATACTTAAGAACTATTTCCAACTGAATTTATAAAAAATAATAAACCTTGTATAACCTAAAATTAAAATAATTTTTTCACCTTTTAATTTTATCAGTAGTCCCCTTGTTTTAATTTTCAAGTTTTCTAATAAATACATTAAAATATGAAATTTTTTAAATTATTTGTGAATTAATCTTAGAAAACATGGTATTTGACTGAAAAATGAAACATTTTTGCATCACACTTTAGATAACATTTTATATTATAATAGAGTCTCATTAATTTTGACTTAACAATACCAAAGCTTCATGGTTCATTTAAAGTCTGTATTTAAATTTAAAATTACTAAAATTGATTTTTTCTTTTAAATATAATTTTATTAATCACCATACTGTGTTGATGGCTTAATTTTTAACTTATGAATTGATTGAAGATAAAAAAACAACATCTTGTACATATAATTTGAATATAAATAATTAAATGAATATTCTGATGAATAATGTTTGAATTAAAAGGCTATTGTATATGTTATGAGTTTATGACTATAGTATTTAAATTTATTTGTGGTTTCAAACTGTTTATACTACCCTTTATCTTTTTGTGCTAATGAGAAATTTTATTTTTAGTGCCCAAAAATCAATTGCAACTAGTTCCAAACTGTTTCCTAAAATAAAACAGCGACCTTTTTATATACCAACTCGTGCTATGTTTATACAAACTCAGGATACTCCTAATCCTAATAGCGTTAAGTTTTTACCTGGTGTTCAGGTAAGTCATGAGCATATCCATTTCCTGCTATCAAAATAATCTATTAGATGGTATGAAATAAAAATATTTTTGTAAACACAGGTATTGGAAAAAGGTCATACAATGGATTTTCCTAATGCCACAGCAGCATACTGCAGTCCTTTAGCTAAAGTTTTGTTTCGTGTTGAAGGAGTAAAAAGTGTCTTTTTTGGTTCAGATTATATTACTTTAACAAAAGTAGACGATGATATAGAATGGATGGTTCTTAAACCTGAAATATATGCTACTATCATGGATTTTTTTGCTAGTGGCTTGCCTATATTAACTGATGTTAAACCAACTAGTGATACTCGTGAGTTAATTTATCATTAAAATATATTTTATTAATATCCTTTGTAATTTTTTACAATTTTTTTTAAAGAGATTCATGAAGATGATAATGAAACTGTGATGATGATTAAAGAACTTCTTGATAGCAGAATTAGACCTACTGTACAAGAAGATGGTGGTGATATTCTTTTTATAGTAAATCTTTTCCTTACTAAGATTACTAATATGAAACTATATTTGTATTGATTTTACAATGATGTATTTTTTTTTTTGTGACTTTATGTGTCTATGTGCACTATGAAATGCTTCAAACTTCAATTATTATTATGAATTTTGATAGAAAATTGGATTTAGTTTTTATTTAAAAGAGGTCAAAATTAATAATTTCCTGTATTTTATAAATAATCAGGTTAAACAAAAATAAGGAAAATGGTAAATTGTATGATATATCAGTTTTGAACAAAATGATTTTGTATTTTGATGTAAAATTCTCTTCAAACATTTCCTACATATAGTGTGATAATATTAATATTCCTAATAGTTTTTAAAATTTTTTGACCCTGAGTTATCTATAGATATTTGATATTAGTAATTTTTTATTGTTTTTCTATGTAACATAATGATTATTCGCTAAGTAAAAATTCTTGAAAATTCGAGTAAGATCTCATTTAAGTTGTTCGTATATTTGTTTACAATTATTAAAAACACATTAGTAATTTAATGCACATTTAAAGTTCAACTTTAATTTGTTTAATCTCTAAATTTTTTGAAATTATTGTGATCAGGAATTTATTGCTCAGAATTGTTTTTTGTATTTAATGATCTGTTATTAAATTTAAATTACAGTAATCCACTCAAACCTAATGTATACCTGAGTCCTGAGTAGTTCTCATATTGTTCACTTCTTTTAGTCTTAAATATTTAAAATATTTAAAATTTCATTGTATGAGTTCACTTATATACTAAAAAAAACGAGAAATATAAACTGAAATAATGCACCAATATTATTTATGTATTTAAAATAAAAATATAATAAATTATAATATTAAAAAGGAAAAACAATTTAAAAGAATCTGAAATTTTGCAAAAGTTAATTAAATAAAAACTTATAAATTTAATTTTCTTCTTCACCATTTATATTTAATGATATTACTACGACTGAGAGTGTTGTGTTTAATATTAATAATTTTGATATCAAAATAATTGGTACATGTCTTGTAAATTTTTGAAACTGTTAGTATATTGACTCTTCTATTTAAGATTATCCAGTAAACTCTGTCGTATGGTAAGAATGATACATTAATGTATTGTATTATAAAAAATAAACATGTATGTATATTAAAATTATAAATGGCAATTGTTTAAGTCATATGTTATTTTTTAATTACTTTTCATGATCTATATTTTATAAATTAACATCATTGTAAAATAAAATTCAGTTTAATTACAATTTGATAAATGTATGCAAATATTATGAAATGTTTTTAGGGATATGATGCAGGAATTGTTAAGCTAAAATTACAAGGATCTTGTACTAGCTGTCCAAGTTCAGTAGTTACCCTAAAGAATGGAGTTCAAAACATGCTTCAATTTTATATACCAGAGGTAATTAAACCAAAATAATAAATTTATTATAAGTTAAGTACCTATTGGTTACCGTGTCAAACCAATTATGATCATTAAAATAATAATAATAAAAAAAAAAATAATCTTATTAATGAAAACCTTTTAAAACTCCAAATATGAATTTGCCTATCTTTCTAAGGATATTTTACTTTTTACTTTTGTCGATAATAATAATTATTTTTCTATTTGTAATAGAGTTGAATTAATTTAGTTTGTTTAATAAAAATAGTATCTCAATGTACAATAAATAATTTATTAATATATTTATTGTGTTGAAGGTGATAGCTGTAGAACAAGTTGAAGACGAAATTGAAATACGAACTAAAGTCGAATTTGAAAAATTTGAAAAAAAGTTACAAGAAAACGAGGAAAAAGAAAAATAATAATCAAGTTGTCTTAGATATTTATTAATAAACATTTTCATGGTTTACTATAAATATAATCTAACAAGAACTACATCATCAAAATATCTAAAGTGCAGAGTGGTTTCTATAATATATTTTTAACTAATCGATAACTGTTTTATTATTATACATGTTATATATTTTTGGTAAAATTTTTTGTTTAAATAATTTAATAATAGTTTATAATAATATTGTAGTAATGAATGTTTAAGACAGTAAAATTAAGCACTATAGAAACGTCTTGCTACTAATATACTAATGAGTGCAATAATTAAATATATTAGGTACATTCCGATATCTGAACATAATGCGTCTTTAAAAATGTTGGGTGAAATATTATTTATTACTGGTTCATCATTGATTGTTTCTACATCCTGTTTTTGTGGATCAGAAGGTTTGGATACTTTTTCTGCATCTTCTCCCTAATAATTAATAGACACGATAAATTCTGATTTACAATACAATACACCTTCATTAATTCAAATTAATTTTTTTTTTTAATTACCTTAAATGTAACACTATTGATAAGTTCACTTTCTTCTTTTGTCAATGGTTTTGCTTTATTATTAGCTAATAAATTAGATATTTGACCACAACAATCACAAATCCAATTCTGAGACCTAATTTTAAAATAATTTGAATATTAATAAGCATTTTATGATAAAATTTTCTTTTAAATACAATAAATTACTTTTTGGCAAGACTTAATCTTTCTTCGGGTGTATAATCAAGAGCTCCCAATGAACCTCGGCCATTAGTTGGCATAAATGCAATCAATGCTAATAGAGCTGTTCTAATCGACCAAGACGGTTGCCAAGTTTCTGGATGATGGCTGGAAATGCTTAAGCATATTTTTTTGTTTGTTTCCCAGCGACCATTTGGCTACATGATTAATAATATTAGGTACAATTACAGTTAAATTACACAAATTACTACGCACAGTTAATAGTATTATGTTAGGTGGCTTCATTGGATATTCAGTTGGTAATAATATACGACCATGATAAATACCACCATCAAAATCTGATGCCTGTGGACCACGCATAGTAAAGTGCCATTCGAATAAATTATCTTCTAATGGATGTGCACTATATTCATCAGTTGGCTCTGATAACTCTTTTGCTTCTCTCATCAAACGTTTCACAGCTATAATAAAAATAAATAAAGAAACTAGAAAAATTAGTATTGACAAATTAATAATAATTTTCTATATAAAAACAATATTTAATAGAGTTGTTACATGGTAAATATAAAAAAATATGGTCGATGATTAAAAATGTATATGTAGTTAGGGAGCAAAACGTAGACTATTTATCTGTCTACTACTGCCAATTAAATACTGATTACTGAATATAGATAAGAAAATAGTATGACAAGAACCATTATAATATTAATTATCTTTAATACATAAATAAACAATATCTCAGGACGTGACAATACAAATTGCTTAACATAGATATAATTCACAACCAGGTTTGAAATAGGCTAGTGAGCTATCGAGAAAATCTGTAGATCTATTAAGAGTGTATGATCTTAATTTTCTTTTTTCATGACAAGTATAAATTGGTATAAACATTCAATCAAATTATTAAACTGTATGTCTGTATAATAGATATAGCTGTAATCAAACGTTAAAAATCCTAAAGCTCAGTAGGTCAATACCTAGCTCATACGACGCTGCATACAATTGAAGATTGAAAAAAAGAAGACTTTATATTCTTAATGTTTTAATTGAACAAAGCAATTATTGGAAATCATTAACCGTCTAAAATAGAATTGTTCCTATTTTGAGCATCATATATCTTTATTTCAAAAGACTTTAAGTGGGCGTATTTTTTAAATTATGACTGTATGAAAATATTCAAGATAGCTTGAAAAAAAAATTTAGTATGGTACACTGTTAATGCAAAATATTTTTTGCTGGTTAAACATGACAAAAATAATATCCTGCATGATATAACCACACTCAGAAGTCAAAAATACAGATGACAGGTACCTTATATATGAAATAATTTTATTTGTTACAATCAAAAGTATATTTTTGATATCAAATCAGTAAAAATTATATTTTTAATATAGTTTTTTTTTAAATTAAAAAGAAATTTAAATTACCTACATCTTCTGGGTAGACATATTGTTAAATGTTCACAATAATGTGAATCAATTATTTTTCTACAATGAGGATTATGTTAATGGTTTATACTTGTTTAATAATTTAAGTAATTCTTGAGAAATAATTATTCTACAAAAACAATATTAAAATGCAAATGATGGGTATTGTTTGATTTGCTACTTTAAACAAGTTACTTGCTTACCTGTACTTTTACTGTTGTATTGAGGCTCCATGTTTAAAATAATCAAATAGGTAGGTATGCTTGGTCACAACTCACAAGTAATTAGTAATTCTACTTATAGCTCGGTATAATGCAACTACAAAGTAATAAAAATAAATAATTAATAATTATGTGCAAAACATTAGTTACGTGTTATTTATAAGTATTAGGTTGACAAAATAATAAATAATAATACTATTTATCACTATATACATTGAGTATCTGTGTTTATTCTATTAAGCAATATTTGTTCCCTTCCCTTTACTCATAGATAAGTAGTGTACTATATCTCAAATGTTTGATGTGATAATATCTGTTCTTCCCCAGGATTTGGCTAAAATGATAAGAAATTAGTAAATATAATTGAAAAATCAGTGAAATAAAATTATATAAGCATGATTTCTATAATTTTTTACTAGTTAGTAGTTAATAGTTAATAGTTATATTCTTATATTTATATTTTCTAAATCAAATGTAAATCTCCATGTTTCTATCTCGGTTATAAAAATTTTTATATTAGTTTTATAATTTTGGATTTATAATGTTTATATTAAATTTTAAAATTTAAATTAAAACCAATTACTAAAAATGCTGTAATTTTGATAATTTAAATTAATAAATAATAATTAATAGACGTATGTAATTACAATTTACAGAGTATTTTAATTTTTCATTAAAATAATATTTTCGAATTATATTTATTTAAATTCAAGATAAAAATGATAAAATGATTATAATAAACTTGATTTATTTATAAATATCTAGTCATTGTTTAAATGTAATCAAGCCATGTGAATATTTATTAAATTGTGTTTTCTAAACCTAATTACAGAAATTAAAACAACAATAACATGATCGATATTCATATGATTAATAATAAAGGATTTATTTGGAATGCAGATGGTAAGAAAGTTTAATTTATAAATTTATGGTTTCAATTTTGTTATAATTAGGACTGATTTGTGGAATAATGCAATATTAGTCTTCATTTTGGCAAGAGTTAAATATTTTTTAGTTATTTGTTTTAATAATTGTATCAACAATACTTTTTTAATCTTTAGTAGTATCTTTTTTTTTATAGCTATAGATGTTAAAAAGAAATACTCAATAAAAATTGTTAATTACTAAATAATTAATTAGTTAGTTTTCAACTTAAAAAATCTAGATTTGTATCAAATTATATTTTGATATAATAACATTAGTATGAATTTAATTGGTTTTTGGCCAATTATCATACCTTGGTATGATATTTTAAAGTAATACTTTAAGAGATTTGAAATAAAGTGTTTTTTATGCTAAAAGCAATTTTTTTACGTGTATAATAACTAAATTGATTATCAATATTATATTATAATTAGATTGATAAAATGTTATTGATATTTTTAAAACATACTAAAATTCCATTTAATTATTTTTTTTTAATTTACTAACACATTTAAAACAAATTTGAACATTCACTTATCAATATTCAAATTCAAAAAGTTTTTTATAAGATCTAATGTTTAAATTCATAAAATGTTTAATTTTAATACCCAATGCTTAAAAAATGTATACAAGATTCTTCATAATCTGATTTTAATAAAATTAAGTTAAAAAACTTAATGTAAAGCTACATATCAAATAAATTATGTGGGGGACTTGTATGTGTATATAAGTGATAATTAACAACTATTCATAAAAACCAACAGGTAGTAATTAATTTAGTTTTCATTCAAATATATTTAAATATAAAAAAAAAAAAAAGCAATCTTGAACAGTTTAATAAAACATTTCTTAACTATAAAATTAATTATTCTATAGTTTATAACTCTGCTTTCATAAATTAATATAAATTATATTAATTATAGATTGGTACATTTTACGAACAACCCATCGTATGTTGGGAAATTTGATTGGAACTTTACCTTCCACGCCACGCCAAGAAGATCAAAATGGTCTTCCTTGCCTTTTATTAATTGAAGAAGTTCGATTATTGGTTGAAAATTGTATAGGTCGAACTGTTGAGTATCCATCTTTTACATCTTTACATATTAAAGAAACAGCCAAAATCAATCCATCTGATATATTACCTAATGTCATGTTACATCTTGGTTAGATTATTTTAAATTTATTGTTTACTTTTTAATTGTCTTCAAGTATTTATGATAACTTATTTTTTTATAGATGAAAAATGTTCAAATGTAATTGAAGTTCCATTACCAGAGTTTATTAATGATTTGGAAAGAATCAGATATAAAGTTTTTAAAGATCTATGGTCAAAAGGCTTTTATTTAACATGTGGTATGAAATTTGGAGGTGATTTTTTAGTCTATGAAGGTTAGATAAATAAATTATAACACTTAAAAAAAAAATGTAATTTTATTTTATTTTATTTCAGGTGATCCTTTAGCTTATCATGCTAAATATATAGTCAACTGTAGAGATTTGGACAAGCAAATAATGGTTTCACGTAGTAGAGTTAGTTCAATTACTAATAAAAAAATGGTATTAGCCAAAGTTGATGGAAACTCTATATTATATTTAATTTATCATTTAGATGATACATCTCAGAATAATAATAATAAAATTAATTACACTTTTTAGTATATTAATAAATAAAATAATACATATAATGTACATGAATAAATAAAAATAATTATAATATTCAAGACTTTATTTCATTCAATATGTTAGAACATTTTAAAATTTTTATTTTCATATGGCATAATTAAAGTGAGTTTACATTTTTCAACTAATTATCTTGTCATACACAAAAAAAACCTCATTACCCAGAGTTCATAAATTACTCGTAGAAATAGTATAAAAACAAACAAAATAGAGTCATTCAATCTGATGTCAAGTTACCTTGTTATTAAATAAATCACTGTTATGAGTATATAAAATATAAATCATTGTATAAGAGACCACATATTGGAAAAATTGCTATTACTTATTGATTTTTCTATGAATACAGAAGGTTAATTAATTTTCGCTGAAAACATTTAATATTGGTACATTCATTACATAAAATATTAACTTTTGAATCAAAAAACCAATATTATTTAAAATGGTGAGAATTCAATGTAAAAAAATGAGCTTAAATTTATATCTTGATATTAAAAAAAATTGAATTTTTTATAGTAAAATATAATAATGAATTTAAGTAAAATGTTCAAGTCCCCATAAATAATATTATGTAATTACAAGAAAACAAATAAAATATTAATTTTTTATTACAAAAAATTTTAATTACAAAATTATTTTTAATTTATTTTAATTTTGACGAGTTTTTTTATTATTTAAAACTCAAAGGCTTATAAAAAAATCATGTTTATAAATTCTTAATATTTTAAAATTAAATAATTATTAAATATAAAGAAATGCAGTTTTCAAGCTTAGAAAAGAATTGAAATTTGAGCAAACCTAATAATCCTTCTCACTTCTCAATGCGAAAATACGTATAGGCTATATAGAAGTATAGAACTGATTTCAAATTTGATTCATGCCGTTGGTATTATTGGTAGTTTACATATGATATGATCTAAGGGATTACCATACATTGATATCAGTTGTGTATCTTAACCTCAGTTTGTTATCAGATAAAAACACATGCTGAAGGTAAATTTTTAAATAAAACCATTAATGTTTTCGTTTGTTAAATATTATTTGTTACAAACATTTTTGTAGTTTAATTTTATTTAATATTATGAAGTTTAATTCATAAATTACTTCTATGAGCAGGAATGTAATATAATTCTTTGTGTTTTTAGAATCATGTATAGGTTATTTAGGTTTCGTTCTCAAATAAATCATGGATTTCCTCAAATAGTTTTAATTGACAAGTCTTATTTATTGAAAACAGTGAAATATTCTAATATTCCTGGTAAGATTTATCTAATCATTACAAATAAGTTTGTTTGGTATCATCATATTTACTATGCATTGTTCTATTGTGCTTTTGTTTTGTTTTTTTTATTATATAGAAAGTCTGCAAGCTAAGATTTTAACAAAGACCAAACAATTTAAAAGAAATGTGAAACAATTTTCAGAAGTAGTACAAGGTTAGTATTTATAAAAATTAATATAATAGAAGTTCATAAATTATTTTATTTTAACTTAAAATTTGTTATGCCTATGGTTTTTAGGTTGGTTAAAGAATATGTAAATGTATTTTATACATTATTACTATAAACATAATATAAGTGTAAAATTTATCAAAAATAAAAAATAAAATTTTTTAAAGTAGAAAACATTTTGTATCTATATAAATATTTTTAGTCTATTCTTAGTTTTTAATATTTTTTTTTTATTAGATTTCAAAATTCTTTATAGCCACTGTAATTGTAACTTGATTGTAAATAATTCACCATAATTAAATTATATTTTGACATTTATTTTCATAAATATAAATTGTTTAAAATAATTTACCATTTAATATTTTTGTGCTAAGTTACTAAAATAAGAAAATAATCGAGTGTATCTTTGGAACTTAGTTTTATATAATAAATTAATTTCAATCATATAATATTCCTGGAAAATAGTTATATGGCTTATGTTTGCAAAATGCCAACACATTAAAAATAGCTTTTTATAGTTGGTACTATTGTTTAGTAGCTATTTAACATAGACTTATAATTTAAAATAATTTTTGAACCTTTTCCGTTTATTCACTACCAATGACTACACAATATACGTGTTTCAGCATTTGTCGCTATGTTCCTCTGTGCCATCGTTTTGCTCTGAAAATTAAAAATATATCGCGACTTGCTATACAAATCCACCTCAAGTAGTAACAGCCAACATGGTACTTACTGATTAATGCTAAACAGCTATTTGGTCAAGTACACGGTTTGGTTTGAGGTAGATTTGCATAAGGAGCGTAGTGACGAATGCTAAAACACACGTAGGTATAGTTATTGGTAGTAAATATATACCTACACCTAAAGCACACTTTATACCCCCAAAATCTAAATAATATGGGTGTGGATTAACGATAGTGAATGAACGAAAAATCCAAAAAAAGTAGTGATAGTGAACTAATGGAAAAGGTCCTAATTTTTGATAGTATAATAATTTATTTAAAATTTTTAAATAATGACAAACATTTTTATTTTTGTTTCAAGTTACCAGTAGTGTTGCCAGTCAATCTAAAGTAAAAGTAAAACATTTAAAACCTAACCAAGTGCAAAAAATGGTTGCTTGTAAAAAACCATTAGCTATGTTTCCTAAGACAACAAAAACAAATAATAATTGTTCTAATAAAATTTCAATAAAAACTACATCTAACATAAAAAAACATTGCATTAATGAAGAATTGTTAGATGAGATAGATGAAATGAATGAAGACCAAATCAGTTTACTTAAAGATACTGATTTTTTGAAAACAATAACTATGACAGAGAATGACATTGAAAATAAATTTGATTCTAACCATTTAAAAGAAGAACAATACGTTTATAATAGCAATGAAATACCTAAATATAAAGATAAACTGTAAGAAATATTTATTATAATCTTAACATGTATTTTAAATAAGTAACAAATATTTTTGTATTTAAAGATCAAAAAGGGAACGTAATCGAAATCTTGCTGCAAAAAATAAACTTGAGCTAAAAGAAGCTATTAAGCAACTCAATATTAAAGGCCGTGAAAAAAGTCTCAATCAAACACTTTTAGCATATATAGATTTATGTGTAAATTGAATATATAAACAAAAGAAAATTTATAATGTACATGTATCATATTTTTTTTCTTAATCTATTTTAGGTATGTTGTGGATTTCTCAATAGAGGGTTAGCTGCTTTGAATCATTATTGTCACAAGAGTGTTTCAAATAAAGTATCTTTAAAAATAACTGATATACGGATTTTTACATGTTTAATGCATGGTTTTGCAAGCAAGGTAAATATGGTGTTCTATATATTCATAGATGTATATTAACTGAATGATATGATATACTTATGAATTTAATCAATTATTATAAAAATTAAATAATTAATATTTGACATCAAGATGTGATAAATGTTGAATTTATTTTAAGGTTGACCTATATATTATTTAGGTGTTACTTTTTTTAAAACTTGTTCAAATAATATTTCTATATATATAATTAGTGAAGAAAGTATAAATATTTTTTAAATACTATGTATATAAAAGAAAAAAAAATATTTAATAGTTAATTGTTTAATATTTTTATAAACATGTTCCTACACCAACATGTATTGTTTAAGTTTTATAAAACATATAATAAACAAATTTGTTTTAAGCAGAACCAATAATGTGTTTTAAGCTTTAATATTAAAGTGAATTAATCTATTATCAAAGTTAAAAGCGAGTGCATTCTCAGTAATTAAGCATTAGATTTTTTTAATTTTTAACCAAGATATTAGTATGTACAATATCAAACATTGAAAATAGTCATATCTACCAAAAAAATCAAAATACTGTAAAAAAAACAATGTTTAATTAATGATAATGTTTTTACCTTTAACTTTTATAACAAATCAATTCACTTTTAATATTAAAACTAAAAATCAAAATGATTTCTGGTGAATGATAATTGGCTTTATTGTGTTTGTAAGATAGCACATTTAGAGGATAAATTCTCTAAAATCTATTTTTTAAATACATAAATTAATAAACTGTATTGATTGAATATATATTTCTAATTATTATTTTTAGGGAAACTATGAAAAATTGAAGGAAATTTGGTCACTATTGGAACTATCACAAACAAAACCAAATAGTCAAGCATACGCAGCTGCCTTTGAATGTTTAGTTAATAAAAAAGAATCATGCTCGCTTGATTTGTTACAAGAATTATCCAAACAATTTTTGTCTGATGTAAGGCTCCACAAATTTATTTATTTAAATAATATATTTTATTATTTAATGAATTGTTTTTCTGTTTTAGGGTTTTTCGTATAATAATTTATTTGATAATTGTATTTATATCGGAAATCAACGAGAACAAGTATTAAAAGCTGTACGATTATTAAATCCTTCTTTTGAACCACATCACAATATTGAAAATATTTACTATTCTTGTTCTCTTTTAGATCATTTAAATTCACAAAAAGTAAAAATATCACTTAAACTTAACCTTTGTTTAAATGTATGTTTATATAATATTTATTATTTGATTTTTAGTCTACATTTAAATGTCCTGCTGAAGGTCTTTTTGATGAAAAAAAAATTCTAGAGTGTGCTCGGAAACAATTAGAATTAGAAATGTCTACTATTGTAAAAGTAAAGTCGGTTGACAATAATTCTACACCATCCTCAAAAGTTTTAGATTATGTAAGAATTTAAATAAATTACCTTTAGAATTATGTTCTATATAAATTAAAATGTAATTATTTGTAAATTATAAATAGAAATTATTCAAGGACTTTAAAAAAAAAAGTGGGTATATTTGTATAATTGCTCATTCTATATTTTTTACTCTTTTTTTTAAAAAAAATCTTATATTATTTAAAGTTGAAAACAGGAAATTATAGTAAATTAAATTATATAACTATATTTTATATTATAGGCCATGTACAGTATTCTGAGGATTATTAGATTCTGTA